TTAGCCAGTCACGCCTTCTCCTTGCCAAACAATCCACTTGCTGAATTCATTCTTGATTTAATGAGAAGAGGCTTTAGCTGTAATGATACTTCGAAAGATGGTAAACTTAGACTGGGACTGAACTTCCATTAAAATGATGAAATCTAATGAAATTACTTAATTTAACCAAGAAAACACGCAAACGAGTTTGATTACAATGCACCGCTTGCAGCTGGGATACAACTCTTTCGGATAGTTGAATATGAGGCGTTATAATTCGATTGGAGAAGTCAGTCAAGTTGAATCACTTGAATTCTTCCAGAGCCTCTGCAGCTTGCGCGCGGACAACCTACAGCTGTGCGTGGAGACACGCCCACGCGAAGAGGGCTTACATTTCAGTGCTCGCCTCCACTCACTTCTGGTGAGAGATGAGCGCTGCCGTAACGGTCACCAGCGTCCCTTCTTTCCCATCGTTATCTCGCCCCTCCTCCATGCACCCTCATCCTCCTCGTCGGACCTCTTCCGACTGGACTACACCTCAACGCAGCTGGCCGATGAGGCGTCATTACCGCCTACCAGGTTAGTTGATCTACCTACATTTCCATTTTTTCTCTCTGCCTGAGAATTTGGCAACTTTACCCCTAAATTAGTGGTTCCATGCATTCATTGGTCGATGCTTGTTCACTTCGAGGTGCGATGGCGTTTTCCTCCTTAGATTAGCAAATGACCCATAATTTCAAGGCAAAACAGCGCCTAAAGTGACAGTTTTATCTATATCTATTCGTCAATATGATTATGTGCGAATTAAATCAGATTATTTTAGTTGCATCACATGTGAGGAGCCTGAAAACACGTTTTTTGGGCTTAAATTGTATTGATAAAACCCCACAGAATTGCTGCTGAAAGTGTAGCTACATGTGTTTGCCTCCTTGCCTGTATCCGTAAAAATTGGACTGGTTCTGGTTGCTACAGATATTAAATTTGAAGGCGCCCATTCTTCCAACCGCAGTATAAAAACTAACCTTTTTTTCTTTCCTTTGGAATGAGAAATTGACGATAATCCTGAAAATCAGGGCTACTTCTTGAAAGAACACTCGTTTGTGTGCTTGTTCGATGTCTGTGTATACAATTGGTACTGTGTTTATTTCTGGTGAGTCTGTGAGCATGCTTCCTTGAGACGGTGCCGTGATGTCTAGACTCGGGAAAGATTGTGTTAATTTAGATCTTGAACTACTCGTAGTTATTTTGGATGTGTATTTACTTGATTGACCGTATCTTTATGTTTGGAATTCGAGTGTGTGTCGACTGACGGACGTCTGAAGAGTCAACAAGCTTGTCTATTTGCTTCTGGAATGAGGTGGCTTGTTTGTCTTCCCCCTGTTTGGTCACTAGGTATCACACTTCCATCGCTCGATTCGTTAGATTCCTTCAATCTACCGTCTTCTAGTAGTTTTTAACTGTAAGAAATCCAAGTTCCATCACCAGCAAACATTTTATTCGAGTATTTTCCAGTAGATTGGGTACTCAGCTAGCGTATGAATTAACAAACTGAAGTTTGGACTTGCACGTCTGTTCAGTCCAGGCCGTCTATCCTAAGTCTGGGTTTAGCCAGATCCAACCAGTTTCCCAGCATTGTCTTTAAACATCTCTTTTTTTCGATCTTGGGATTATTTCATTCTCTGTGATTTTGGCTGTAGTTGATCAGACGTCCCAAAGGCTTTAATTCTGTTACATCAGCACTCCATTCTTGGGGTTTAATATAATAGAACATCCTACTTATACTCTGTTGATTCAATGAGCTCGTCTTTCCACTATATTCCTTACATGGCAGATCGCCGTTCCTTTTTAATGTGGCTTATGTATTACTTTCACGGTCCACTTTACCTGATATTAGTAATGTTGTTACCTCAAGGACAGAGGTAGCTTCATAGCATCCTTAAGCGCCTGTAATTTATCCTTGTTTCTGCCTTGTACTGTCTGAGGTTATGCAACGATGCTTCAGATTTTTAAGCAGGGGATTCCTGAAATAGCAATTCACCCACAATGACTATCTGCGCATCATATCAGGTTCCATCTTAAAGCATTTATTTAATAGCATCACTTGCACAGCTCATAAAAGTTGGTGAACTCGTGGTAGCACTTTTACTGATGATCCTGAGGAAGGGGAGACAGCTTTTACCACATTCCCCTTTCGGAATGGCCTGTCTACCTCTGAGAAATTCACAGTTGTTTCACCTTAAGCTATTACCTCTTCTGTAGTCTATTTGCCCTGTGCGGGTGAATACCATGGCCTCACAGAACTTTAAAATGTGACTTGAAAATCATAAACATTGGTGGATTAGTAATTTTTTTATTCCTAAATTCATTAATCCATCTTCATTGTACTTTGATCAAACTATTCCCTACTGATTAATCAACCATTTTTGACCCTCTGTTTCAAGTAATTACTTCCAATACCATTTGTCCATTAATAAAATAACTGTTAGTATATTCTACATACTTGACGATAGTTGAGGGAAACTGTGGCTTGCAAAACAAATTAAGATTAATAGTGCCTTCCTTTCTTCCAGTCTAAACATTCGAACGGATCCTCTGCGTGTGGTTTGCCAACCCGAGCTCTTCAATCGCGTTGTGCGCTTCATCGCCTATGCGTTCAACAAATCGTTAAGCCAGACACCAGGTAAGATACCTTTGGCTTTCTGCACTGCAGTTACTATCAATCTCTAATGTGTTTGGCTCACCTCTGCGTTTCTTAGTTTTATTTTTTTTAACTGAAATGATAAGGAGGTTTCTTCGTACTGCTTTGTTTTGACTTTATATAATTTTATTCCGTTGATGTAGTCGCGTCTAATAATAAATTATTTACATAAGATGTTCCGGCTGGACCATGAGTTCGGGACATCCCGTTCCCTTGCTGAAAATACCATTTATCTCCCCATTTTGACTTTATTTCATTGGTTTATTAATATGTACCGATTTGTATGTACCTATTACCTCCTTGCTAGTTCATAAATTGACCACAGCGCTTGTTTAACTAGCTCTCCTATCTGTGCGTAGTTGATGTGTTTATCAGTGATGTGTTGATTCCCTTCGAGATGTTTTTTTTACAAAATAGATTATTTTTAATTGAAGCAAGGTGGCAACATTTCAACCCCTCCTAAGATTGCCTTCGCGTGTACCCCTCGGTGATATCCATTAGTAATGTTAGATCGTAATGTGCAATCTCGGTATTATTTTTTCCACCTTGATGCATTTGAAAATGGTTTGCCATTCGCTCTAACCTGTGTTTATGGGCGTTGCTTCAATAAACCAAACGTAAGTAGGCCTTTTAATTTTGGCTTGCTTTATTTGTAAATGATTCATTTAAAAAGGTCGTATCTTTATATTTTGATTTGTTTCCGTATAAGTCACTCCGTGAAGCAATTTCCTAATTATTGCTAATTGTGAAAGTTAGTTCATTTCCAAGCATGCGGAATACCAGAAAGTTTGCTAGCACCATTGGGAGACCAAAAAATGATTTTTATTATACCGCATGACCACCATCTTGTCTTGGGCGCTTTCTTCGGCACCTCTGTTGATTACTCCTACCCCTTGGATATCATAGCAATATTCGAATAAATTAAGGCAACTTCGAGACAGAAACGAAAGCAGCACAATAATTTCTATCAATTTGAGGAAATGTCCAATCTCAGTGATAGCAGTACCTCTTATAGGTGTGATGGGACAAATTTGTCACTTCCTGACTAGAATTTATGTGACAAGAGTTGCTTGAGCTTAAGCGATGCATATACAAATTGCACTTTGTGGTGAACTTAATCCAACAGATGCATGGCAAAAGGTAGCCTCTCGAATCTTCGTGCCGACTCCAGTTCGCAATTCTTGTTTTATTGCCAGTTAAATGACAATCTGCGGCCTTATGATGTTTTTTGCATCGCTGTAAATTTTCGCATTTTGATAGTTTTTCCCTAATTTTCTGCTTTTTGATATTCCACTATCTTCTTTTTTGCATTATTGGGTTTTTGAGTCATATTGTCTATTCCTTGCTCCTCTTTTACTCCTAAGTTATCAACCACTTAATAATTTCTACTTTTTCTTGTTTACTGACTGGAATCTAACATGTTAGAAGTGTTTTTGCACCCACGTTTGCCTACTTGATATTATTGTGTATATGCCGCCAATTGGTCTTATGTTTCTTCCCTTTGAAACTAGTTCCAAGGAGAAGAACTAGCATTGAATTTGTTTACCAGAGGTGGCTTTATTCCGACCCAAGGATCTGATTTTTTTCTAGAGGTTTCGCCACTTTTCAAAAACGCCACTGCCGTCCGCGAGCTCTCCCAGCCACTTCGTTTTAGTTTCGTAGCTCATTTTTTTGAAGACTTGCTTTTAAAAAGTGTTATTTATCGCAGTCTATTGGCTACGCTCCGCGTCTATCCTGAAGTCGTAAAAAGTTGCTGTAGTATGGCAGAGCATGCATTATCGACGTGGTAAAGAGCTGAGGCTGCTGGCGCGGCCTGGACGCTGTCGTTGAATGGAAGTGCAATCTGCGGAAAATGAAGCTCCTGCATATCCAAACGTAAAGTTAAATAAACTATCAATGCGTTGTATATCCCCTTACTTCGACTTCTTAGAGAGGGTATTAGCTATATTCCTCGGAGAGTAGCACTTAGGAGGCATTTAAATGTATACGCATGCACTTCATAGACTCCACCCTTTTTCAATGACGTTCTCAGTGTTCTCCGCATCCTCTCCTCTATGTCTAGCGCTGGACTAGTTTCTTAATTAAGCTGAAATTAGTAACAGTGAATTTATTAAAAGTCGTTTGAGTAGGACGAAAATTAAACACAAAGTGCCAAATGCAATATCGCTTTTTTCATATCCAAGGCTCTAGCGATTTGGGCCAACTTTGAATCTCTGCTAAAAGTTATTTCTTTAAGATTTGCAAATTCGACGCAAAAATCTTCATGGTCGAGTGGAAATGTTGGCAATACGTGTAAAGAAAAGAAACAAAATATTTGATTCGGAAGATCGAGTCTTAAGCCAATTGTCTTTTAGTCATCGGATCTACAAGATGTTGTTCTCGATCACCATCTCCTCATTTTTATTGCCTATTCAATTTGCCATCATTACGAAGCAACATTACCTTTGCCTTTGTAGAACCTTTATTGCACCAATGATTGATGACTAAGCACCCGGTTTAAATCGCATGATGTTACAATTTTGTGGATGGGAGAGAAATTGTACCTCTGCTCGCTTAACCAAAGCACGCATGCCACACCGACCCCAAAATCACTGATTCTGGTTTAGCTTTATATCTTTTGGTACTTCAAAGTGAAGTATGCATTCTCTGCTAGCCTCCTCACATTGGTCTCAGCTTACGCCTTCATTGAGACACTTGACTGATGTTGATTAATTCGCTGATCTGCCGAGCTTCTACCCCCGATTTCACGTCATATCTCACTGGATTGGCAATAACGATGTCACAGCGGCATTGAATATTCAGCCTTTTAGACGGCGGTACAGCCTTCGTAACCTGCCTATCAGTCCATATTTCTCCAGGAGCGCGATTGCTTTTTGGGCATGGCATATAGCATGGTGGTGTTACAAATGGATTTTATGTATATAAGTTAGCAGAATCCTCCTGAAGGAATACTCAGTATTACCAGTGGGGAAGGTCATTGAGGATTCCACCGGACTCACTAAATGGCCACTAGCCCATTTTTTACTATTTTTTTGGTTCCGTCGAAGTCACGTATGGCCACACTTTGTTAGCAGATGTCAGTGCCATCTTAATACCTTTGGGCCAAAGGTGGAAGGGTGGCGTGAACTTTCATCCTGCAAATGTTTGTGGCGAAAAAGGTGTTACTGTTGTGGATGTCAAGTTGAAAAGAGTTAATTAAAGTTAATCTCGAATTTGGTGAAGGTAGGCTACACAAACCGCTTTGTTACTCATTCAGTTACCAGTTGACTATCTTTCTGCTATAAAGTTTGAAGTGCCCGATTTTCCCAAGTGATCTTATAGCTCCTGGGATTTCGATCTATTTTTCTGCCGTCATTGTGAAGATGCACCACTATCACTGTTTCCTGTACATAATTTCTAGCTTCTTGGGAATTATTTTTACAACGGTGCATTTTTAAATGCCGCTTTTATCTTGGTATCCATACAATCCAGTGGCAAAACTACCAGGTGACATGAAATAATGTGGTGTTTGGCATGGTGTGGGTGTGGCTTAACAATGAGCCCACAAAGCGATGTGCCGGTTGATGGTAGACAAGACCATTTTATTACTGTCAACGGTAAATAAGTCATATGTCAGCTGAGAGGTCTGAACCCCGTGCAAAGTGATGGATAGCGGTGAATTGTTTTGAAGGGGGGCAGATATACCGGTTCATCTCAAATTACACGTGAATCAGCAGCAGTGAGGTTTGCAATGCGAGTATTACTGAAGTCGATAGTACTGGATTGAATCATGTGAAATAAACGGATAGGGTTCCTCCTTCATATGAATTAAACCCATAAGCATCAGAAGAGAAATCTTGCTATCTTGTTCTTATCAATTTTCCTGATTAAAGCGCTGGGTGGGGTATCAAGGACTCCATATATCCGAGATACATGCTTCACCATTACTTCCCTTTTTCGTAAATTAGGCTTTTGTTATTACTGGGATTCTAAACTACCCCAGTTTGCTGATTATTAAATTCTGTGATAGTTCAGTCTCTACTCAAAAGTCCAGTGTTACTGTCTGACGATATTCCCCATCTACACCCACCCACAGATGACTCTAGCGCCTACGACACAATCAAGTTACATACAAAAGCTAATCTTCGTGCCGTACTGCGCAATGCCGAGACGGCGGACGAGGGCTCAGCATCAGCGACGTCTACGTCTTCCACTGCTGCTGCAACTCCATTACAAACTTCGTTAGCATCACCGTCATCGGCACCATCGATTCTGCGACTGCACTTAGACATTGCGGCGCCGCGGATCCTTTTCCCCGGGCGCCTCTGGCCATGTTCGACAGAGGCTGAGGCGGAGGTGGAGGGCAACGTGCCATGCCCTCCGGCAAGCCTCCTTGGCGTGATTTGTGACCTTGGACGCTTCCGACTCTCCAATTGGGAACCGTCGGCCGCTGCTGCCGATGATTACGAGAACACCAAAGAGGTAGGTATCCTAGCTTGTGATCGGCCTAGCATTTCTTACTAGTTTTTGATGTTAGAAGAAGTAGGGGATATTTTATCCCATTTTTATTTAAAAAAGGGGGATAGAAGGCCTGGATGTTTTACAATGACCACCGTCATGGCTGCGGTGTACCGTAATTGTTAACATGTGGTCCTTGTTTGGCTAAATTTTCCTCCCTCCGGAGGTCCAATGTTTTAAATTCTTATCTGATTTGAATGTGTGTATGACTAGTTTCCGCTGAAAATAAGACATGTTGAACCTCAATACTATGTTTAAGAACTTTGTATTAGTTACCGACTTTCGATGTTCTTTATTCAAAAAAATGTAAAGACGTCCGGCAGTTTTTTGTTGGTTTAACTGTAAATTTACTATTAAAGTTGACTGATGGCTTTGACTTCTTACTGTATTCTCAATTCTCTTGGTTTCACCGTTACAAGGCCTTGAAATGTCAAAATGAGCTCTCAGTATGATATCCTATTTTTGTGTCAGTTTCCCTCTACTACGCAGATAGACGGATGTATCAATGACTAGACTAGTCGAAATTAAAACTATTCGTTAGCCTGCGGTGTTTGCTGAACCTGCACGTGTTTCGTATGCCTACACTTTTTTCACTTCCGCTAGGCACAAACTCCTGGCAGGCAAAAGGAAGAAGAGACTAGTGAACCACAGAAAAAAGCAGATTACGATGAGGATGACGAAAGCGATGGGGATGAAGAAGCGGATATATTTGCAACACCCTGTGGCACACCCGTTCAATCCGATTCTGAGACACCGTAAGTTCGCGTGCCTTTTATTGACGGATTTCACAGTCACTTTATCATAGATAAAGAAGTCTTCTTGCCACTGACTTCCTCGTTCTCTCCACAGACCATTACCAAGTGCAAAGCGCTTCGCTTCTGCCCGGCAACGCTCCTTGCGGAGGCGTCCACGACAGAGTCGCAGACTTTATGTGACCTACCTCTTGGAGTTGGACGAGTTTCGTATTCTGGCGGGGCGTTTGGACGAGCTGCAGGTATCTGGGCTGTGGCCTGACCTTCTTCCTAAGTGTTCCATTTCAACCACTGGTGAGTGAATGGGGCTGTCAATTTTTTTCTGCAAACATCACCTTATTTCCTCAGGCAAAAACCTAATTTCAATGAGAAGCAAATCTGTATTTCCAACTTCTGTGATTGCTTAACTTTGGTGCACACAACTGAGCATTTTCATGAGAATTGGCAAGCTTGTTCTTCACCAATCGCATTATTATCTGCCCCAATACGCCTCCTAAGGCTACTGCTTGCGCTTATCAGATGATCTTGATTTCTGTCGATCACAGTGACCTTAATACCGGCAGATTATGACAATTTTTTGCCATCCTGATCACTCTTGTTGAAAGCTTTACGAAAGGTTCTCCAAATATGATACTTTAAATGGTGCAAAGTCTGAGAGTTGGCAGGAGAATGAACGTTAAGGCTGACATGATTGTGACGTGTTTCAGTTCTCGACTCTCAGGTCGTGCGGGCCGCATGAGATGGATTAGGCTGTCAGTGGTGCTAATTGGTGTTTCAGAGTCCCTAAGGCTTTATTACTTTTCAAGATTATGCTCTGAACAAGTTGAAATTTTTGGGATTATCCGATCACAAGTGACTTTTTCTCTTCTACCATAGGCTTAACGCTTTCATTAGAGCCCAGTAGACCCTATCTTAGCGATTTGAAGCTGTAGGCTAAGTTTCACGTACGCTTGTTTTACATTAGGTCTTGTTTGATGAGATACTGGATTTCTTTAAGGATTAGCACTTGGCTTGAAATTGATACTGTCTTTGTGATTATAATTAGCTTCTCGTCTACTCTTGAAAATGCTTTTATTTTCAATGGTTTGATTTTTTTAAGTTATGGGTATCACTATTCTTTTTGATACAACTTTGGAGTCAGTTTTAAAGTCGTCGCTTACAGTGCTCCATTCTTGTTATTCTCATCACGTATGATTCTTTGTTGCCTTTACTGTAAACACAGTGTCGTAATCATCCCAAGCAAACCTAGATATATGTACTTGTGCTTTGTGCTTTCCCGGAATACCTTTTTTTGTGAACACAGATACCTCAATGCAACTGAGGAATCACATTCCTCTGTGATTGTCAGTCCCAGTAATTTCGGCTTGCTTTCGCATTGTCTTTTGGAAACGATACGAGCCCTAGTAACGTGTTTTATTCCTTTTTTGCGAATCAGTTCGCCAGTTAGGTTATGAATTCCTACTGCTTATAGCATCTCCTATGATCTTCTAAGTGTCTGAGTCTGACACTTTAAATTGATTTTTTATGCCTTTTAATGTTATAAAGCTCGTTTTCTTGGCTTACCTCACATAATCGCTTTTTGGCTGATTGCTTGTTGGAACTTCATGCTGAAATCACATATAAGTAGCATATCACCCATCTATTACAGTCTCAAAATCAATTGTTGCAATAACTGAGAATAGTTTTGTTCTTTAATCGCCTAACATCCTTTTGCACATACGGTTTGTAACTTGAGTTGTAAGGTTGCTGACAGTAGCTAATAAAAGACCGAAACTTATTAGCGGTTTTTGATATTCATAACTGGTCCCTAAATTTCATGTCAATAATGTATTAGGGGCAATCTACGGCGTATTTATTCTATTACTTGCTTTAATTGGAGCCATTAACCTAAAGCGCAATGTCAGTATCGTCGCTTCAATCATAAATGAGCAGAGCATTTCTCTTCTTCCCCTTTCAGTGGACGGTCGTCCTATCACCCAGGTAGCCTCCCAAGTCCACCTTGTGGACCGCTTCAGTCTGGCTATTTGGATCACCCGGCGTGTAGTACCAATGGCGCGGCTCCGCTCCTCTTCCAACTCCACTATCACTGCTTCTCTTCCTCCACCCCCGCCCACTATTCCTGCCGACCTGCCTGGGCTTCTGGTATGCCTGGAGCAGCGACACTGTGTTCTTCGCCTCTCTGATGCTCGTGTTACCGCGCTCCGCCTATGCCTCACTGCTGTAGCTTCGGCAGCAACGGAGCAAATAGAGGAGGCGACAGAGGGTTACCCACCACCGCTATCAGCGCCAGTGCCACAAAGTTCAGAGATTCGGCGATCGAAACGCTCCAAACAACAGTTCCAAACGTCCCTCATGATGCCCGCAGCATCAGCGCTACGACGAACGATTGTGGTCACTTTCAGCATGCACGAACTCATCCTCCAACTTGACGCGCGGGGTCGTCCACTGGCGGAGTGTCGGTTGGCCTCCACCACAGCTCGATTTAGTAGATCAACTGACCCAGTACACTCCACGACCACATATGAAATCTGCTTGCAAGTGCACAGCCTCACCGTCGCTGATGCTCTTTGCGGTCTGGGAGGAGACTTTGACCTATTGGCGGCGTCACATCGTGATGTCCGGTACGACTCTATGCCCTTCTCTTTTTCTGTGTGGATTAAATAACTTAGTAGGGAGTACTGGCGTCACATATGTTTGACGCCTCGATTTTCTTAACTGAGCTCTCACGACGCGAGTAATATTTGTCTCTTATAATTTTTTTTGTGACTGTGGTTTACCAGATCGTGTCACAAACATATCGGTCAAACTTAAAATAATATAGTGAATATAGGATAGTCTTGAACTTTTTTGGCTTGGTGATGGCGATAGTGCAAGTTCTACTGCTAAAGGAGAACAGTAAAATTCATAGGTTGCTTCGGCAAATTTTCCTCTAACACTGGTTGCGAACATGATTTGCACTCTTGCTTCAAACACAATGAGTAATGTAATAAAGTACTAGGATGGGAATGGAGCACACCTTCTCGTTATGCTACATCCTTCCAGCCGACGTGAAAATCTGGCTCAAGCTTATTTTTGTTCCCACACCTGTGGAGTTTTACTGGGTATCCAATTGTTAAGATTATCTCATTTTCTTTGTCTGTGGAGGTTGGAGGCTCTTCTTTGACTTCCTACACATTAAAAAGTATCAAACAGAAATGAGGTTTAATTTTTTGGCATAAAGGAGTTTTGTATTCCAAACTACAAATAAAGTGTTATGTGAGTTCGCTCTTGTCAAAAGCGTCATCTCTGGAGCCTCCTCTTGAGGAATTTTCTATTTTCAGCTGTCATGGGCCTTTTTTGTGAATTGTAAGGAATAGTAAAAGTATACCTTAAGAGAGGAATGGTGGCATCATTGAATTTCACGTACCCTATGAGAAAAATTGCATTGGTAGAGTTTAATGCTTGGGGCTGTGCTAAGGGTCATCCGATGTTCTGCTGTAAATGTATTTCTGCCAAACGTTTCGCATAGTAACAAATACTCTATGCGACAGGAGGTTGTCACGTCTTTCATATTGTGGTATGAATAACTGCTCCTAGCACAATTGAAAGCTGTCATTTAAGGGGTATTTTCAATCTTTCATGTCCAGCCTAGCGTCAGCATTACTGGCTGTATTACGAAAGTGCGATCGAAATAAATGCCCAGGGGTCGGTGAAACTTTGACAATCTCTCCTTTGTGATTAGCCACTACTTCAACCATCTGCATCCAGTACCGTTCTCCCATGAATTCTACGTTTGCCGTTCATACAGTTACATCCGATATTTTGTTTATTTGTACCAAGTCTTCTTACGGTTTTCACTAATACAGTACCTTGATTCCTCTTTGATAAATCTGAATGCTACCAGGTGAAACTTTTATTACAAATGCGTACAGAAGGGGCATGTCAACAAAGCGTTTTGAACAAAACCCATACATACTGCTTAAATGGCCGTCTTTTTGTTACATCAAGAAAAACTCATTCCTTTATTCCTAGCCTTCTTTGTTTTCTTTGTTCAGGTTAGACACGCTTTCGGGTAGTCTAAACGTCAGCAGCGGTGCCGATGGTAGTTACGCTAAGCGTCGTTCTCGACAGCAACTGATACGCGGTAGCGGTAGCAATTTCGTTGTGACACGGCCCTTCTTCGATCCTATTGGTGATGGTGGTGAAGGTAATCGAAGTGGATCTTGCTTGGTGTCATTTAGTAAACTACTCATTATGCTAGTTCCGCGTCGTTTTGTAGACTCCTCTACGGCGTTAATTCGGGTGAAGTACTTCCAGTCTTCAACAGGAAGGAAAACTTCTCGTCTTTTTGATGTCAAATTTCGACATTTGGATCTTTTGGGTGAGTGATTGGCCATGTGCGATGGGATATATGCGAGAGATTTGGTAAGAGCAAACTAGCACTTTGATTTGAAGATTTAGAGACCAGGGTATGGATCATAATCCAATGTGTTCAGAGGTCCGTGTGCCCGCGTCAACATCATGAAGTTGTCGTCGTTGGTGTAAGAGTCTTCTATTAAGGGGGTAGTGGACTAGGAGAACACTTTGCTGAGTCAACCATGTTGAAATATTTACACCATTATTTTTATGCCTATGATTAGGTGGTATTTAGATATCGATCTTCGCGATGTAATATATACATATATTACATTCCACCTTTAAGTCCAGCTAGCTATAGCCACCAACACCAGAAAAGTGAATGCTTATTCTGTATTTTATAAGTAACTAGTAGAAATGCGTACGCCCAGACATTTGGGACCGCCAGTTTTTGCCGTTATTAAACCACAGATCCACTACTGTCTTTATTTCACGCGCAGGAAACTTGGACATCCTCGTGGAGTTAATCGCATTCGTGCGCTGTGTTGTACCGGAGTCTGAGTCCAGAAATAAACCACACAACTCCGACTTATCCACTGCCCCCATGATCTCTACGGCTGCTGTAGGTGTCGAAAACGACGGTAGTGATGGTGATCCCAACCCAAATGACAGCATAGAAATGTCGATAAGCGTGGAGCGACTCAGTCTCGTGTTGATTCGTGTGAAGGCGGCACCTGAGGCGAAGGATACGACAGAAGGCAGTGGCGTGGTGGCGGAGGAGGAAGAGAAGTACTCATTTTCTCCTCCAGCAGCCACTGCAGAACGTCTCGCCACCATCACTCTCCTTGGTGCGCATTTTCGATCTCAAGACAGTAAGTTGGAACACCTCCTGGTTAATATCCCAACCCATGTGTTTCCGCCATCAAAAGCATTCATCGGTTCTCGGTCAATTTTCTTACTTTGACGAATTGAAAATGTTCTACCCTCTTAAATGTCTTGATCATGACAGGCATTTATCGCTTACTACTACAGACCACAATAACTTGCGTGTGAGCCTGGCCGGTCTGCAGGTGTTGGATCTGATGGAGGCGGAGTCGAGCTCTATGGCACCGAACAGAGTACAGCATCGTCATATCTTCGCCGCGGGTCGCTGCCTTGATCCCGAGTTGCCCGATGCTGTGCTCGCTTGGTCCGCTGCAAAGTCCGTCTTTACTCTTACTGCGCGCTGTCATAGCGGCTCTGGATACCACATCATGGTAAATAGCATCATTTTCTGTATTTTTTTTACATTTCTTCCCTTAGTTTGGGGAAGGTCTCTCTTTGTTCTCTGATGCAGTAAGAGGCTTCTTGCTCTCCCTCCCCAATCAATTTGTCGCTCTTATTATCTTTTTGTGTTTTTTTCTGCCCTGATACATAACTTTGTTGATAATTTTATTCTCCCCTTTAATTCAGTTTCCTCATCGTCTCGCGTGAGATATCCCTTCTGTCTCTGTCTGTTTTGAGGCGTCACTGAAACAGTTCTATAGTCCGAAACCCAGCCCCACCATTTCCCTTTTTCATTAAAATATATCAGGCATGTCCCAACGCAATGTCACTAATAGAGCTCTTGCGTTTTTCTCGAAAACGGAATAGCGGATGGCAGGTGAGTTTAATGTCACCGGTTAAAATGCCTCAGTGATGAGTCACCTAGATAGGGGTCATCAGAGCCTCATACCAGCTGTGCTACGTCCGACTCACAGGCGACCAGAAAGCATCTACATAATGCTGTACATGCCTTCATTGCCCACTTAAATCACTTTCTGTCTCTCTCAATTCCTTTATGCCTTTTCTTTTTGCTCTTTCGAGGTCTTCATCTATTTCTGTTGTTCGGCTTATTTAAGAATCTGAATAATAATGCTAAAGTAAATCTATTTTGTGCAACAGGATTGAACAAAAAGTGTTCTTTTATTCCGCATTTGATCGAGCACTTTAGGGCTCCCAATTTAAGCCGAAAGGCTAGGATTTTTTCAGCATTCATTTGGTAATCACAAAATAATCCTCTCTTTAAAACGAGAATTTCCCTATTAATTTTAAATGATGAAAATTTGTCTATCACTACTCTCAGGGTAGGATTTACTCATCTATCCTTTTCCGTAGTTGGAGGTCTCCAGTCCCGTGTACATACACAAACCACGCGCTCTGCATGAGATCTCCTCTTGGTTTTCCCGTCTTTATCACCGCAACACGGAGGTGGGTGTCCTGGCACTCCGACTGGCCAAGTCAGCAGTCAACTCCGCTGTCGCTGCTGCTACTGCACCCCCGCAGCAGCCAGCGCCATTATCTTCTCCGTCTTCTTCAAGTCTCGCCTCCCTGCATGCCATCTTCGAGCAACCAGTCATCGTGCTTCCCGCCGGTCCCGTCTCTCCTCAAGTCCTCATCGCGCGTCTGGGTCGCTTGACGCTGTACGATGGTGGCGATAGCTCCATTCCGTTGCGCTTCGTGCAACTCAGCGTGGCTCAGGCGTCTCTCTCCGCCCTCGATGTTTCTGACGAGCGTGGAGTGCCAAAAGTGCGGGACACCTCTGAGGCGGTGCAAGCGATGCTTGTGCTCGCTCACTACCTCGGCCTTGTCACCTCACCTATGGAACAGTGTGTGCTGGAGGACATATCCGCCGACATAATTGTGAGTCTGAGAGCGATATTGGCGAGCGTATTAAAATTTTTTTATCTCCTCTAGGTAAAGCGGCAGATTCTTTCTAGGCCACGAGGCGAAACGGAGTCGAGTGCAATAAATTGGCCAGACGATTTCAATCCCATGGAGACGAACTTCCCTTTTGATGAAGATGAAGAGTTAGGAGCGTCAGAGGAGGCTTCGGGGAAATCAGAATTGTGGATCACGATATCAGCGTGCCTCACACAACCCCTCCATGTGCGACTTTCAAAGAACGTCTACCATCAACTTCTACAGACTGTGGAAAACCTTACCAATTTTGGAGGGACGGTTGATGGGGAAGATGATAGTGAGAATAGTGCAGCATCCTCACGAAAGTCCAGCATGGATCTGATTAACACTGGGGTAGATCGCTTGTCTGTATGCCGAATTTTTTGCACCTGCTTTAATCGTTTTGTGCATTCTCTTAATTCATCCTTTTTTTAAAGTGAGTTTGGTGGTTTTACGGGTTTTCCTGAACCGTAAGATGACGGTCGTATTGATATCTTAATTTCCTTGAATTCTTACCGTTCTTCTCGAATAGTTTGCTCCAATTCTAAACTCCCACTCCTTATCTTTGGACTACGAAAAGGCATTCCATCTTATAGCGCTTCTATCTATACCAGTTATTCTCTTTCTTAAGCCATGCTCATCCATTCGATCTATATTTTTGACTCTTTTTCCTCTCTCCATGGAGTGATCTCTTCCTAAATTTTTGTCTTCTGTACTGGACGTCAATCTGCATTTTTACTGTCAATAAAGTCCACTTTATCCTGATACACAATGTTTAGCATGCCCCTGGATCGTGTGTATTCAGAGTCGGATGAAGGGAGGGGGGCGTAATCACTTTAGGCTTGATTTTGAAAGTTACTAAATGAGGTCAGAAGTCGAAGCTGCGGCAGGCTAAATGGTTGCTTCTCCTTCTTCAGAAGATCAATTCACAAGTTGCGGTAGAAGAGGCGGCTTCAACGGTGATGGTGCCGGGTCTAGCGATGAGATTCCATATGCCTCGATTGATGGTGGAGACCTTCATGGAGATGAGCGGTGAGGCGCATCCCGTGGGACTGACCCGACTGAGCCTTTGCGAGTTTTTTGTCGCTGCTTCACGAATCCCTTCCGCGTCCAATGGGAACGCTGCCAGCGGACTAACGCACATCGAAGCTACGCTGGCTTCGCTGTTGTTAGAAAACCTTCTTCCGGGTTAGTTACCGAGTTTACTCGAGTTCACTGTCGTAATTATCATTTTTAATTTATTCAGATTCCGATTCATTCAGGCTGTGCCATATCCCCATTACCAACTATACTTTCTAATGCAAGATATCCTCACGCTTTTTATAGAGGCACACTAGTATTCATCAATTAGGGCATAAAGCTTTTCATCTAACTTATGTACTGTTGATCAACTATCACCGTAATGATGTTATAAAGTCTATTTTTGGTTAGTTTTCTGCTCATTCAAGTCTAATACGACAATCACTCATACCGACGTCCCACACGCTTACACAAATAACTACGAGAAGAGTCATCGTAGGTAGAAGGTTGTAATTTAAAGTCCAACAGTTATTGGTTTACCTTCTTCTGGGGGTATATTCCACCTCAAAGCTCTTCTCTTGCTCTCTCATCGCCGATCTTACTAGAGTCGGGGATGAGTTCAACTTTTAAAGGATTGTTGGGGTAACAGTTGTTTACAAATAGAAGGTTGTCATCTCATCCTCAATCCATCGCTCAGTCTACTTCTGGACCAGTCTTTGATGCAATGCAGCTGTTACTCGTTCCTCTCATCGGCTTTTGTTGAATTGAAACCCTTCTCTGATGCGAGTAGTTCCTCACTCCAAGAGCTCTTCATTAATTGATCTAGTGGACTATTCGTCGGCTTTCGCACTCTAGCTATATCAAAGATACTTTTAACAGACCCCCTCTCCCCCGTAAAATGTTGAATGCTTGATCCCTTAATATACCCACCACTCATCTTGAGCTTAGGCTGCCGCACACAACTTTTACCTCCTTCCGTGTCCGGTCTTGGAGCATTTAAGACGATGTCACTGGCTTTCTGCCACCATCACTCAAGTCTAAAACAGATTGATGTTTGCAAGTGTAAAGTTGTCCTCAATTTTATAGAGCACTGGTTAAATTTGGTACTACTTTGATTACCCCTCTTGGCTAAAGCCTATAGCTTTTTACTACGGAACGTATGTCTTCGAATCCCTGTTAAATCACATGACAACGATCAGTGTATCATGGCATCCTTCAGGCTACAGCGAGGAGAATCGCTACCTTCTTTATTCTCACCTTCCTTCACAATCACAACCGTCATCACCGCCATGGCCTCGCGATCGCCGTCAACGTCCACTGGCCTCCTCCTGTCCGAGTCTCATTGAGAGCTCTTCCTGGCCTCCCTTCACTTATGCCGTCACTCTTGCCTTCTCAAAAAGTCTTCAGAGACCCGCCCCTTCATCCCGTTTCAGTTTCTGTGACAGTGAGAAAGAGGAGGAGAGAACGGGGGTGAAAGTGATGCCGGGCGACAAATGCAGGGTACGGCGAAGTGTCCTTGTATTTCTTTTTTGCCTAGGACGAATGATCTGATTCTATTTCACTTGTTATTTATTTGTCAATTTCCGACATTCAGAACTTCCATCTTATAATTCAGATCCCTTTTTCTGATTTTGTTGGACTATTTTCCTCTACTATAATTTTCTCGATCTATCTAATGAGGTCTCTCCAGCTACTCAATATGCGGAGCTCCTTCACTTTGGAATCTCGTCCCATTCAACACGCCTTTGTTATGACAAATCGATTCCCCTGTCAAGTCCTGGATGTTTATCTTATTTTTGGTTTTGTAATGGGTTAGGGCCTTTTGAAATGTGTACATTTTTATTGGGTTCATGACATTTTTCAGGGTTTGCAGGATTTTTGTACCACTAAGGTGGTTTCATCAACTCCATTCGTTTAATTACGAAACGAAGTTTCCCTTCACTTTCCTACGCATCCAAATGGCGAAACATGATGGTTTACTTTTTACTCCGTATTATTGCCATTTGACCTTGCAGGTTAACAATAGGGTCATTACGCTAGGGTAAGGGTTGCCCTTGAAAGTTCTGTATCAACTTGACTGATGGCGAAGAAACGACATTCAGCTAAATACTGAGTATCGTGCACATAAAGGAAGCTGTCGGCAAATTTATCCTTATCAGAACGTCGAATATGATCGCATTAGTGTGACCAATATAAAGCTTCAGACGCAGTCCAACCCTAAAACTAATTCGCAACAGATGTAAGGAAGAAAGTTGTACGGGTTGCAGACAATCTGGATGCGAGTATGGGATCTACATAAGCCCAAGCACTTTAACATTGGTTTCGAATGCTTTAACTTCTAAATGTGCAAGGTAGTTTCAGGAACTTTCTGTTCATTATCTTTTCCAAGAACACATCTGTTACCTCGAAGGAAGCGAAAGATTTTGTCTGATGCATGATATTCTATACCCCGAATTTTCCCTGAAAAAGTCAAATTTGCTCCCATCTGTTCGCTTTTCCGCATCATCCAAATCAGTGGGTGCCATATTAGAGGGAATTTATGTGAGGTGGAAATTGTATATTTTTTACTGGTTTTTTAATTTTAAATAACTTCTTTCTCGAATTCTCCACTTTAGCGCCATTCATCATTACAGACTGGACAGCTTCAACAGCTAGCTGGAGAAAAAGCGCATGAGGGAGAGGGTGATCAGTTTGTTCGAATTCGTGCCCTTCTGGTGGATCGGAGCTCCCCTCTTTTCACTACAAAGTACCGATCAGTGAGTTTGTAACTCAATATTTTTTTTACTTCGCCTAATTTTGGCAAGGTGATTTCTAAAGGGAATATGGCCTACCGGTTTCTCATTGGTCAGTAATTTGACCACTGATCAGTTGATCCTAACTATTGGCTTAGTTGTCTAAGTGGTCCGATTTTAAGCTTTTTTCGGTATTCCGGTGCCAAAGCGACAACAAAAATGAAGCGAAAGTTGTAATTATTTAACTATCCCTGGAAAGACTTCACGTAGAAGTCACTTTGACCAGTAAATCTGGTTAGTGTTTGGATTCGACTGTATTTTTACCACTTGTAGCCACTAAGTCTACTTTATGTTTTTTATAGAGATATCTCCAAATTGTTCGGTAAAGCACTATGGTAACCTAGATCCTATGGTTACAGAAAACTAATCAAGGCCAATCCTTGTAGCTTGGTTTAGGAAGTTGGATCCTATCAACAAGCTGAAATGGAGTTAAAAGCTACCATTTTGCCTCCTGAAAACACCATCGCCTTCATTGGTTTATTTTCTCGCCGCCACCCAGACACGTGGATTCGTGGACTTGGCCTTCTCATCCCTCACCTGCTACTTTAGTCTCCACCCTTGGGTGCTGCTGTTGGATTTCCTCGGTTTGGGCTCACCTCTCACTGCTTGTGACGAGTTTGACGCTCCGATAATATCCGCCACCCCTTCCTCCTCTTCCATTGCTGCACCGGCTGGTAATGGCATTGCTTGCTCAGTTGTTAAATAATTTTACAGATTTACCAACACATGCACATTTTGTTAAACATTAGGTCATTCACTGGCTTAGTTTAGTCAGTCATTCATCCACCTGCTAAATCAATTGCTCACTCATTCAAATAATGTTAACCTTTTTAATAATTTGTGATCTATCCATTGATTCAAAATTTCATTCATGTATCCATTTTGTCATTCATCCATTCATATATTCGACTCTTCACTCTTCCATCTATGCATTTATTCATCTATCCATTCATCCTTGCGCTTTTCCACCCTGGATTCGTCCACTCTACACGTATTCATGTATTCATTCACCCATTCTTACAGTCATTCACTTAACCGGTCATTCAGTCACTAATTCACTCACACTTATTTAGATCTCTACAGTCTAAATTATGGCGGAAGCCAGACCCAAATCACCCTACTTGTGTTTACTCAGGCCGCCACATGACGGAATGCTCAGACCACGTTGTTTTAATTTCAGTATCCACAGTAGACAGTGACTTCCAACTGGTTAAAGATACAGAACCGTCGCCATCGGAACTGGAAGCGTTAACGGTAATAACTTTGAGTGTCTCAACCTTCACCCTTCTCCTCGACACTGTCCCGAAGGGCTCCCGCCCAGTGTTGCCCCTTCTGCGCGCCTCTGCTAGCCGCCTCCATCTCCGCCTCACTAACCATAGTCGGCACATTGATGCCGGTGGCGATTGGTTGCACCTTGCCGGCCGTCTTGCCTCTGCCTCAGTCCACGATCTCACACCGATGGGGCGCCAACTCTACCCTCAGCGCTTCCTAGCTGGTGGTGGCGGTGATGGTTGTGGTGACTACCTCGTTTTCGCGCTCACAAAGTACCAATTGCCCGATCCCGAGGTGACACGTCGTACTGAAGATGGAAGACTGGAGTTGAAGCTGGGCCCGGCCTACTATGTGCATACACAAGCCTTTCTATCCACCACGATTGATGCACTGGACAGCTTTTTACAGTACCAGGATCTCATGAATAGGGTCAGAGCGTCGTCAGAGGGGTATAAGGTGAGGAAATAGTGCCCGCCATCACTTACTTAAATAACTTTTTGGTTGATAGAAACAATGAGCCTGTGTCGCTGGCACTATCAGGAACTTTTAAATGACAATAGAGACTCTTTAAAAGACTTTAAGGTATATGGTTCCGCAGGTCGCTGTGGAAAATAGGCAGAGTGGGGTGTATGTTTTGATTTCCATATGATAGTTCCATAACAAAGAACAGGCTTTTATCATTTTTATATTTGAAGATTTTATTGAGGTTATCTTCGCCGGTGACTTTCTGAGGATGCTTTACTGTGTGGAAGGGTGAGAAGTTAAGCAGGCTGAATGTGATTTTCTCAAGATTGCATCTTGTTACATCCCGATTGTCGTTCCTGAGTACTTACTATCTAGGTTATTCAGCTGCGAACCTTCTTTAAAGCGCTAATGGGAGCTTTCATATTCTTTTAAATAAGCGAAAAGTGTTGGACACGTCCTGCCATAATGTCACTCACGTAACGCTCGTGTTATCCCTGAGGGACTTGTAAAGCTCAAGGATATGTAGAAGCCTCATCAGAAGCGTGAGTTGAGCTTCTTCCCACTGCCGTGAAGTTTGAATCTCAGGAAAGGCTTAAGATATCCACATAAAAAAATGAATATCTGTTCTGTCAGTGACTCATTTGTCCGCCCGATTTCCTGTAGGTTCGCCAAGGTGCACCCATCTCAATGCGTCTTCGGCTGGATGTGAAGGCAGAGGCACCGATTCTCGTGGTACCCGTCTCTGCTGCCAGTGAGAGTGTCCTGGTTTGCAATTTGGGCACTCTCACTGCTGCCAACGACTTCTGCTGGCATACCGATGTTGTCAAGCGTGAAGGTGGTGGTGATCCTTCACATGAGGCGCTGAGGGATAGTATACTCCAGCAGCACCAGCAACAGGCATGCAAACACTGCTCCAGTAACCTCTGGTGGTGGTGAGTGTTTCTGGATAAGCGGGTGGATTGAGATAGCTATGAAAATGTCCGCACTTACTCTTATACGTAGTTGTGATGGAAGTTAATTCTGAGGTGCAGTTTTTAGGGTTAGGCGGCGCCCAACATAAGTATTTAATTACGCTGGAAAATAAATGTAGCTGTTGAAACCAGGGTGCTCTGAGATGCAACAGAGGACCATAATTATTCCTAAGCTGGCATGTTTGGTGCCGAAATGAAACTCCCCCAACAGCTTATGACTCTTCTTCAGTGTTGTTGCTAAAAATAAGGAAAAAAATTCGTACTTTATATCAATCCCTCTGCGAACTGCACTATAGACGTATGTAAGGGATGGAGGTTCGGTGGCGTTAGTCACAAGAGCGGTGTTTGATGGCATTATTATGGCGGTCGAATCACGTGGGATTGAAAAGTCTTCCCCAATTACAAATATATTTTAAGACAGAAACACCTCTGATGCTCAGTCTTCGTCATGTTTTGAGTTTCGTCTTTAGCTCTTCCGAGAACTACTTTTTGCATTTCCGATCATCAAATTCGAAACGGATTACGAATCAGGAAAGATACTTATCCACCACGGCTGAAGCCCTTCTAATCTTTAAGATTAGAGTGAAATTTTCTATCGTGCTTTGTTTCCTAACTTAGTTGAAAAGTTATGTGGAAGACCTATGAGTTAGACTTGTGCTGACCGCAATTGCTCATGCTACTGCCGTAGAGAGTGAATAACGGGTGACCGAAGAGGTTGGTGTAACTCAATATGTGAATGAAATGTCACTTGCCTACAAATCAAGTAAACAAAGATTTGCTAAGGAACTTTTTATTCATGTAGTCGAGATCGGTCAAGGTCGTAGAGGTGGGCCAACCAATCCCTTTACACCAAGCCATGCGGCTCCACAAGCATGTGAGGGTTGAATTAGGAAGCCTTTCCATCTAGTTTACGGGGTCTTGAGCAAACTGATTACTAGGGCGTAGACCATATTCTATTAGCTGTGAACCAATATTGATGCTAAACCAAAAAGGTACCAATAGCATTTAACTAACATTTTAGTATTTCCCTTTTTCTGACTTCTTTAAACTGACTTGTTCTTGATGCAGTAGAAAAGAAGTTTTGATGGCACAAGCTGAATTACACGTGAAACAAGTGTTTCATACCTACTAACTGTCTTCTTCTTCCCACCTTGTCTTAGCGATGATCTCGTCGAAGCCGGTTCGAAGGATGTAATGACCCAGGGCTTCTATCCAACCTCAGCCATTGCTAAGGGTAATAATTGTTCGTCTCTGTCGATATCTCCTGTCTGGCCGCTTAACCTCGTGTCGCCTTTCCTTTCAGACATGTCTCATCCCAGCGCTGCAGATAGTGCCAACACACCATGTCTGTTGGATCGCATTCAATTGAATCTCGACCAAATTGAGGTGTATATAGGCAAACGACACGATATCAAAGGTGTGAATAGTCTCTTTTCAAATACTTTTCTACTGCCAAGTAGTTTGGATAAAGAAGCTGCCGTCTTACACGATGTTAAGTTCAAATTCAATGAAAGGACTAGGTCAGCACATTTGAAAGTGTAGATTTATGGTCTTAGTTCCAAAACTGTTTTATTCATTCTCTCCAGCAACACATATTTCTACTTTTTTTCTCTAGTTAAGTGCCGTTACTAGTTGCGGCTGCCATTCGGCCTTCAGAATGTGCTTCTGGTTTATAGGTCAAGTCACGTTGAAAGGCCGTTTCCATCTTGGTCATGAATTCGCTAATTGTATTTATTGTTTAGCCACAGACGGAGGCAATTTTGCTACTTTTGTAGTTGCCTCGAAGGAAGGTGATAAAGCCCCTTCATCTGCCATAGGAAATGCTTCACTATTAGCAGAATTAGTAGTTGCCTCTAAGGAAACAGTTAAATGGAGAGCAGATATGCTTAAATCCCGGTAAGACTTAATAGTCCAGCATAAATGCTTGTGTACACGCGTTTGTAATTAAGTTCGGCTTTTGGTGGTGCGGTGGAATATGATGCCAAGGGGTGATTGGTAGCAATTACGCGTAATTAAATACACTCGTTTGGTTCGTTCTTGATTTGTTTTTTGTGGAAAAAGCAAAACAAATCGATGATTGAAAATCTAAAGTTATGTATTTTTTGTGCCGGTTCTGTAACTCCTAGTCGTATCTATGGCGTAATCACCTCCACCCTTTGAATAGTCCGCATTTGATCGGGCAAATGAAAGTGTTCCTTGCTTATCAGCTAATAGTAGATCTCTATTCTTGCCCCCACGTAATAATTAAAACTCCGCAGACTTCAAAGTAAGCATCTTTATTCTCATATTTTTTTCACTTATTAAACTTTTTGCTTTGATGCATCGTTACAGGTAGCTTAGAGAATAGTGAACGTCACGAAGTCATTTCCACTATACTACCGCAGCTAGGTTACCTCTAAAGGGCTGCAAAACTGGAAACATGGGTAGCATGAGTTCATAGGTAGACCTAATCTTTAAGGAGGTCGCAAGGTAGTTGTGTTCTATGATCCTTATCTTGTTTTGAGCTGCGTCCTTTGCAGTTCTTGTGCCTTCACTTCTATACTGGTCATCATAACAACGTCCCGATGCTTTAAAACTTTTTAACTGAGACTAAAAATGACGTGATGATTTCACATCATATTGTATGCATTCTTTAGTTTTGAGTCTCTGTGGAAACCACTAATTTTGTTTTCGTTAGATGTCGAAAACAGAGTGACTTGATTTTTGTCTTTCCGATACTTCTAAACGGTTAGCATCATTGATTCTTGGTAGAATCCAGCTATGATTCCTTTCACAAATAGTCTCGAAGACGAATCTAGCTCTCCGGTAAACTATCACTTCTCAATCACGTGTATCGAATGAAATGTTTTGTTGAGTTTCTAACGCTTGCGTTGTTTCATAAAAATGTTATGAAGACTAAAATCCATCCTATTCTAAGGTATCTTTAAGATGGACGAATGATAGAGATGGACAGGTGAGTAGACGGACTGATGGAATAATGAGAAATTGGAGGTTTAGTAGAGAAACATATCCGGATGGTTGAGGTGATGAATCGATGGAAAATTGGGTGAATGAATATGTTTATTGTAAGATGGGCATCTGGATAGACGATGAAAGGATAGATTAATTTTGAGGTGGATGTCTTGAATCCATAACTTTTAAATGAACGGTTGGATGTTTCGGTATATGGGTAGATGATTAAAGGAAAGGTTGATGGCCGAATGATTGAATAATATCAAAAGCTGACGTAAAGTTGAACGATTAAATAATTGAGTGAATGTATGGGTGAAATTAAAGGGGAATTCATGAAATTTCAGACTCAATTTTTTTGTGCTGAATCATGAGAAACAGAAATTAGATCGAGACTATACATACGACAGGTTCAGAGGCTATAATCTAGTGCCCCTGAAGGCTATATGTACTCGCTCCAAGCACCGTCTCTTCTTTTAATGTCATCAGGTGCTGCCAGCGTGGAATGCTCGCGTGTTCTGCACTTCAACGACTTCTGTATTCTGCCTGAGGCTGCGGCACTGACGCAGCTCTTCGGACTCAGCATAGTGGTGGAACGTAATTTGTGCGGAGGACGCGGACAGCACGCGGTTCCCGATTGGCGCCTCTCCGCGCGCCTCCGCCCCACCTCACCCCTGCACGTCGGCCTCCACGACTACACCCTCCTGCGAGGCATCCTTGCACACAACATTGCTGCTCCACCTCCTGCAGCTGCTGTGGCAGCCGCTACTTCTGTCTTGGTTACATCTAAGTGGGGTACTTCAGCTACCACTGCAAATGAGGTAGGTTGAATTGGTTTGCTGAGTGATTAACAAATAGATCTGGAACTACCATTATCTACAATTGATCATGGATGTGGGTATAAGGATTCTGGGTGGATGGACGGAAACCGGCTGGATAGTTGAGTGAGTGGGTGGATAGCAGATTGTGGGATGCGTAGACGGACGAATGGGTCGCAGTGCCTGAATAGTTGTGTGGATGAGTGCCTACGTTGATGAAGAGATGGATCTAAGAAGGAGCGAAGGATTGATGAAAGAGCGAAGGAATGCATAGATTAATTAGCTGGTGAAGGGTAAGTTACATAAGCAGATAAACAATTGTTTCCAGAAAAGATAATTTATCTAAAAATTGTGAATAGATCCAGGATAGATGATGAAATATGTGAATAGACGTATAAATAGCAAGTCCAGTGAATAAGTGAATGAAAAGATGAATGAAGGAATATTTTAGTAGATTTTGCATGAGTAATAAATGTATGGTTTGATGGATGAGTAGTTGAATGGGAGAGGGATAAATTGCGGGATGGGTGAGCAAATAAACGAAATAATGAAGAAATGGTGGCTGAAGTAATAAATCACCGGGTGGATGGTTCACTAAACTTGGATTTGGGTAAATGATTGAATGGATCGGGATTTAATGAATTGTAAGATGAATAAGAGGACTTTTCCCACCTGTATTACCGCCTCAGTTATCTGTGTTCCTAAGTAGCATTATTGATAATGTCTGGCAATCTCTTTTGAACTCTCACCACACTACCTACAGAACCGAGAGCCTGTGTACACCCAGCGACCGTATAGAGCGCTGGCCTTCACCTTTGACCTCGAGGACGTTTCCATCTACCTGTCTGTACCTCCGGACTGGCCCTCTCAGCGTCATCTGAAAGCCATCTCGGACGCTTCCTTCTGTCGTCTCGATTTGACGCGCTCTCGTCTCGCCTATGATAGCTTCTCCTGCGGTGGACACGTTGTCGACCTTGCTTGCACCGCCGTCACCTTCACTGACACGCGTTTTGAAAGTGCGTTACTCTCCTATCCATCTCTTGCGGTTCTGTGGATGCTAGTAAACATTTAATTTATGGATGGCTTAAAATTAAACCAATCAAGAGTAAATATTTTTCCCCACTTTTGATGGCGTGGCAGGGCTAGTAAAGAAGCCGATGAAGAAGGCAGATTCAACCGCATGTTACAACGCTAAAGGCTAGATTGTTGCGAAATTGCCATGTGTTTATTGCATTATGCTAATCTCATGTAGTGCTCGAAATATCCATCATTTCTTAATGTTTCATTCCGTTCTCTAGATTGCGCAGAGCCGCAAAATCTCTTTCCGGCCATTCTCTCCGCCCTTGCAAAACCGCAACAGCATCACCACGACGACAAAACCGTCACCTCACCTCAATTTCGCGTAACTCAAGTGGTCACCCCTGTGGGGGGCGGCGTTGGAAACATCACCTCTGCAACCACCTCCAGCATCATGACCTTTAACCTACGCTCCATGCGTCTCATTCTTGCACTGGACTGGCTCGTGGATCTGCATCGCTTCCTCACCACCCCACCCATGCTACCCTCCTCTTTATCCTCTGCCTCAACATCCCCGCCCCCAACCGATGCCCTCCTCCGTGGTGGTGGTGCACAAACGGATGAAGAGCATAATAAGTACTTTCAGTCTTATTTAACTGTTATTTTTTTCTGAAATGATTTAGTTGTTTTTTGTGGGAAAATGATTACTACTTCCTTCTAATCATCATCATTTTTAGAGGCAGAATTTAGGAGAGATTGAAAGGTTAAGAACAAGTGACTGGATGGATGGGCAGTTAGATTTATGGACAGTTTTGTGGTAGATGTATGGGTCTGTGACGAACCCATGAATTATCGCAGGGAGGATTATAATGCGATTCGGTACCGAGTATGGGAGCCCTCTCTTTTGTGGCTTTTCCTTTCCGAGTGGACAGCCTGATTTATGTGCTGCGAAAATTATTGCGGATCAGTTAGCTGTTGCTTGCATAGTAATTCCCTTGAATAATGCTCGTGTAATTGACAGTTGGCCATTGTCATTCTCCTCACTATCCTATTTCGTGTTGTAATGCTTATAAAAGGGTTATTTGGAATGAAATGTTTAATTCCGACCCAAAGTAAATGACAGTTTGCCCACAGAAACCGGCTTATTCTTCTCCACTTTATCAAGTCATTGTTTTGAACGAATGCTTGATGAATAGCTGTCAGCACAACCATGAGGTGGCTATTTGCTGCATCTTTGTCCGGATTGCCAATACTTACTTAGTCGATGGGTCATTCGTTATTACTATTCCGAAGCAGGCACGACATTTGTGTATTTCCCACGAGTTAATGCCTCAAACTTTTACATTAAGCGATATGAAAAAGAATGCATTTTCCTTTCTCCCCTTTTTCGTTAAGCGACTGATATTACGATTTTTTATAAAAACAGGTTGGCAAACTAATCATTGTCACAACATTTATTTTTATTCATTTCTCCATGCACACACATAGTGATGAAATTTAAGTGATAGGCGTTTTGTTCCCTACTTCATAAGTGAATGGCTTTTGTTTAAGTCATTTTAAGGGTATATTTAAAAGCTAAACATTCCTTTAATTCCTTTGTACCTACCTCTTAAGCAACTTGCATTCATTGCTTTCCCGAATACGTCTCTTCTTTTCTGCTACCGGAATTTTGTGCTCTCGTTCTCTCTCACAAGCCATCTACGGAGTCCGCTAACCGTCGAAACGAATCAGGGCCAAGAGCAACAGCAACAAGCGGTACCACAAGGCACCTCAGACCTTTGCGTCTTCGCTGATCAGACGGAATTCGTCATTATGGAGAATCCAGCCGAACTAGACACCAACACTGTCGTTCTCAGTGTGAGTTCATTTCGGACTAAAAAAGACATTATGCAATATGGAGAGTTGTGACATATCCTCTGGAGTGTTTTTTTTTTCACTCGATGGCACGTTGAATTCGTCAAATCCGGACCTTGTGTAATTTACTTCTTTATTCCTCACCTGTTCCAGGTTCGTCTCTATCTTGGCCATCTTAATAATTATTTGAAACAATGTTTTAATGCTTTTTAAAACACCAATGACAATTTTTATTGCTGTTCATAAAAGGCTTTAGGTAATGTTTTAACAGAGCCGGAATCAATGTAGTGTACAGGTTCGTACCAATAGCTTTATGTTGGAGTGTTATTAATCATACCCCGTGTTATTCGTTACAATTAGTGGTGAAGCGTTGCCTTTCATAAAGTACACTACACCTAGAAATCATTTGCATCTGTCATATCTACTCCATTTCTTAACTCTAGAACGTGCGAAACAAGTGAAATTTTAGTAATCTGACTACTTTCCTTCATTTTCGTAGCAAGTATTTGATCACTTTTCCAGGGCGCAATGTGCTTTCTGTTGCGTTCGGGTGGTGCACTGAGCCAAGCACTGATGCATCTCTGTCTTCATAGCGTTGGTCTCTACACATTCAACGGTCGCACAGATGACTCCCGTGCCGTCATTATCGAGCCCACAGACCTTACGGCGGCTCTCACACCTCCTACCATTCAAAACGACCATAATCGCCAATCTCCGTCACCACTGTGTGCTGGGCTTCAGGTAAGCACCAATTTCTGCTTTAATTATCAATTGGCGAAGGTTTTCACCTGTACTGTGATGGTTTCCTTGTATTTTTTTGTTCGATCGACCGTATGACATCTTTTTGTTGATTGTCTCGTCCTGTATGTCTGAAGTCCAAATACAAAGTTTATGATACTATTCAGCTCCAAGGTGCGGTCTAGTTTATTGGATAGACGAAGTTTTACTCGTATCATTCAAAAATTCATGTTTTATTCACCATTAAACATAAAATGTCTTCTTTTTATCCATTTTTCCAATTGTAGGATCTCCTGGCTCCACGCGCCGATCTCGAAGTGAGAACGTCAACTCTGCGTACCCATTTCTCCTACACCGATGGCTTGCTCTTCTTGGCTCTACTGGATTCGTTCAGAGAACAGACCACCTATGCTTTTGGCTCTCCCACCACAACCACAGATTCTACCTTTGCACCTCCCTCTACCGCCAGTAATACCTCCTTTGGTGAGGTTGAATTCTTTACTCTTGTTAGCGGTAATTCTCGCTTGAGAATAATTCTCGGATTGATCTCTCATAATTGCTGACCCCAAACCTTTTCTCTGCCCCTATTTCGGTCCCCAATTCAAATAGGGTAACGCTTTTGAGATTTCTCTGTTTCCGAAAGGTTTCGATCCCCATGAACATTGTTCCTATTGTATACGGCGTTATCATCAACGGCACCAATTTGTGCCGCAATTTCCTTGTACTCGCACTAATGACACGCATTCGGTGCTTTTCTCCCACCCCTTCCTCCACCCCTCGCAGACCATTCAATCGCTAAGCTCGTTGAGATGGGTTTCTCGACAAGAAAGGCAGCGCAGGCTCTGCGCGCCACCGGTGGACGTCTAGACAAAGCAATTTTTGTTCTCGTTGCCCCTCAGCCACCTAATGCCCTCACCGAGCCGCCCCAGTCGTGCGTAGTCCTTTGGCTACGCAGCTTTATCGATCATTTGACACCTTATGCCTCCAACATTAATGTTAGTGTTTCCTTTTTCCCATTTTTGATTGGTTACACACTTGCTTTGCCTATATGTCTCACACTATCTTGTTTATATTGTGTTTCTAGTTCCACTCACACTTCTCGTTGTGCCTTATCGACGATTGTATGGATGCGGACGTTCCGCTGGCGGAAGTTACTATCACAGGTTAATTTCTGTATTCCAGCCTCGAAAAGTCGTTGCTAAACGCTTGGTTATGGTCATACGCATGGATTTTCGAGTACTGGGTTCAGTACTGTATTTATACCAAATGAAGAGTTGCAAATATATGCTTAAATTTTTCACAAATCGCTGTTAGTATGGATCATTTTATTCAAATACTCGCTTTACTGCATTAATTTCCCAATCAAAGATGGCGAAAATGGTTACGTTCATCAAATTTTGCTGCAGTTGGTGGTGTATGTTCCACTGGCTTCCACTGCAGTTGGCCTTCAACTCCGCTTTTGGACTTGATCTAGATGATAAATCGTCTACCAGATGATTACATCTTGCTGCCACCGCAACATCATCCTTTGATAAGCTACTATTTAGTTGGTTATTAGCCCGATGATTGTCTGCGTTGCTTCATTAGTTGGAGAAGTGACTCCATTGCAGACCCAACTAACATTTAAAACAAATATTTTTGGCCCATTCAACTCTTCTCCTCGGTTCTCTCATAGACATTTCATTAAATTGGAACCTCACCGGTTGGGCTGTGGGCCGAGCGATGGGTCAGCTGGCAGTGAAGTACTATAACCGTGATCTTTCTGCACTCGAACCTGCCATTGAGCCGTTCCGGTGAGTCTACTTTGATCAGGAAGTGGTAATGATATACGCTTTTTTGATTTTTAAAGCCGATTTAGATAGCGAAAATGTACCCACTTTATCGGTATTAGTTCATACTTGTAGTGGAAGAAAGAACGATTTCGCTAATTTTTTCCTCCTTTTTCTCACAGATGCATTTGCCATTGGCGTCTTTGTGATGGTGGCTTGCCAAAAGGGGACCGTGCTATCATCGAAGTGCATTGTACATAATTCTTTACCAATTATTGGTTTTTTTAACTATCATTAGTTGTTTTCCAAAACCGATTTTTTAAATTTCCGTCTATGGTTAACTATGAGTAATTAGTGCCTATCTTGTGGCCAGGTGGTTGATTCTTTAGTGTTTTGTAGTGCCTATTTGATGCTTTCTGATCGTTGATAGTCGTTGGTGGCTACTACCACTTTCACTGTCAAATTTTGGCGTTTATCAGACATCCACATAGCTAATTTTTGATTACCTTTACCCTTCATCACTCATTTGCCACCAGCATATCGCCTACCCAGATGATCAATCACTTGATCACACCACTGCTTTTCTTCGGCTCCAGACTCCGTGTCGCATCCCTTGAGGACTTAATGCAGCATAGCGTCTAGTTAACACTGCTCCCAATCTAAATACTGAGTCTTTCTTACTCTCTTACGGGTTTTCTCCTCGCACTGCAGCTCCGGATACGATAAATGTCAATCTTACGGTGGCTCTGGTGCGTCTTATCCAACTGGTGATACAGAAGACGCGGTCGACGCGGCTAGATCGACAACTGCGCTCTCGCCAACGTCGCCCACGTGCGCCCTTTGTGCCCTTTTGTCTTGCCAATCAGACTGGAGAGGCACTACGCTTCAAGAAGGCCACTGCCTCCTCATGCTATGGGTGAGTTAGCTCTCTTTTCTGGTCCGTCTTTATCGATTTGCTGTCAAGTTTTGTCAATTTCGAGAGACTCTGATATGCTTACTTCAAACCACGTGTGATTTAGTGGGAGCAAGATTTAGTACTGTCTTCATTCTGTTAGATTCCTCTACCACAGTCTCGAATGAGCTGCAAATCATATGGAAAACAAACCTGAGGGGAGGTCGGGGTGATGGGTGACGGGAATCATAATTCAGCACCTCGAGTCTTCCCTGAACTGTTAGTAGGCTATACCAGTATGGAGCTAGACGTACCTTTAGCATTCAAAAGGACTGACACTATGGACGTAGTCTGACGACTACAACACCCAGTGTAAGCACATTCTGACAATACTGAAGATGCGCCCTAGTTCAATCTACAGTTAAACAAAGCAGCAAAATACTACAATAAACCGATTTTAAAGTTTTGTTAAGGTGGAACATTTACGACACTTTGATAGTCAGCTCTTCCATGTATTTCACAAGCAATTCAGTGCCCCCCTTCTAGTGCCTTCTTGAGGCATGATTTCATAGTCGATTCAACAACATATAAATACCACCAGATTACGTCTTTTTATTAACCAACCAACCCCATTTGTAGTACTGACGACGAGGGGGGCGAGTGGACTCTGGTGGAGGTTGGCGCTTGTGTGGAGTTGCCTTTCCAGTCCGCCCTTGCGGCCACGGGTCGCGGCCAGGGTCAGGTTCAAGGCTCCGGTCGAGTTGCTCATCGTCATCTGACTACGACACCACGACTATTCCTCCAGGTAGAAGGCTGGACACCCGCCTATCCGGTAGCACTGGATCGGCTTGGTGTCTTCTGGAGAACCATCCGCTTGCAGCAGAAGCAGGTGCGAATGCCAGTGGTTGAATACTACCGTCAGTTCATCAACACTTTCACTAAAAAAGGAAGGAAGGACTGAAAACCGTCAAAACAACTGCTGTTAAATTAGAACGAGAAGAAGCACCCGAACTACGATGATTGATTTTCTTATGAGGCCTCAGCCTTAGGTCAGGCCACGAGGATCCGCATCGACCTGAAGAGTTGGCTGGTTTATAATTCTGCAAGAAGTTGAGAAAGATCGATTGAATGGAAGTCTGAGCTTTTTTGTGTAGAGAAAACCAGCTCTTCCACTTGAGTACATCACAAGGCCAAATATCTTTGCCCCTTGGAGGCAAGACTGCAGGTTTGAAATGAA